ATCCCATTTCCCGAAATATGCTTATGCCAGTGGAACACCACGCCCTTCGCGTCCACGATTCCGGGGGCAAAAATCTTTAGAGCACAGCAGAAAGGGTAGAGAACACTATGCCGTACCGGTGCATGCGTCCCCGAGGACACCGGCTACTTACAAACCGCGTTTGTTCTTTCATCGTGGCGATATTGTACGAACGAAAATGGGCTGAAGCGAGAAAGCCAATTCATCGCTTCTTAAACCGCGTACCGTTACAGATGTCGAGCAGAAGAAGGAAAACAACGAAGACGATGCCTCGGTTGTCTCTGCGGAAAAGGGTTGTCCTAATGCTGGAAAATTTAGGGCCGAGACTCGCTCACAGATGGAACACTCTGCTCGTTCCAGACAATTTGTCTTCGTCTAATTTCTCGTTGTCGTCGGCCGATCGACCCGATTCGAGACACGTTCTCTTGAATCGATCCCTAATACGTTATGTATTAGAAGAAAAAAAAAAAAAAAAGAAAAATTAGAAGAAAGATTTTACGTAATCGTCTTTATACAATATTTATAGAAATATAAAAATGATAGATATATCGTTAAATTTGCGGCAAGTATTTGCTCCTACAGAGAAGAAAGGGGTGAAACCTCGTGGAAGGAGACGAGCTATTCGCAATTGCCCGTAAGACGAAGATGTCCACCTATAGTACGGCCACCCTTAATCCCATCTCGACCGATGTTATCTCATTTATGGGAATTGTGCGCGTGCGGTATCGTGGTTCGAATCTTATCTCGAGGACTTTGAACCAGCAATCTGGTTAGCCGACACGCCGGCTCGTCTCTAATCCGTGGATTGACCGTAGAGAGAGAGAGAGAGAGAGAAAGAGAGAGAGAGAGAGAGAGAGACAGAGAGATTGGTTAATCCTCGCCACGGGGTCACCATCGTGAATGATCATACCGAAAGCAAATAATCGTAAATATCGTGATGGTGTTGGTGCACCTACGATCCTACTGTTGGAAAGGTGCGCTAGGTTAATCCCAATTTAAATGGGATCCATCCACGTGGACAAAGGGTAGGAACAAGGAGCAAGAAGTGGGCGGTGCCCACTCGGTGGATTAGGATCGAAAATCTGAAAAGAAAGATTTCGAAGCAAGTCTACCGTGAAATTGTCAACATTTCGAACGAACGAACGGACGGACGGACGGGTTCGTAGATAACTGTTGAACTGAAACGCTCGTTTTGTTTCGGTTGCATACCAACTCGATTCTTTGGTTTGGTTTTTGGTGTTGAGTTGGGGACAAATGATGCTCGATTTTGAATTTGATTGATTTAGGAGTAGAGCCAGCTCAAAATGATGGACATTTCATTATTTAGAGAGTCGAATGATAATAATGGGTATTACGGTGATTGTTTTTGTGGGCGCGATAGAAGGAAATTGAAATTATCAACAATGAGAAATTGGCTCCATAAAAAGATGTAAAATTTGGATTACCCAAATGTGTAACTATTTCATCTGTTTCCTGCCGTTCCATTCACTACCTATACTTACAATTTCATGAATAACGTTAAACGTTCTTTGCGAAAGAATAATAATTTGCAACTGTATTTATCTATTTACATAATAATAATAATACTTCGTATTAAAAAAATGTTTGAAAATATAATATTATTAACTTTCCAAATTTAATAAAAATATTCTTTTTTCTCCCAGCTTGGAAAAACAAATTTCAAAACAATAAACAACCATCAACTATTTAATCTCAGATTATAAAATCTCACGTGTCATTGTCACGTATCCCCTCCCAAAAAAAAAACGACTGTGATCTCGAATAAAACTCCCTTCCAACTCTTTGCAGATTAACCATTCGCATCAGAGCCATCGCATAAACGTCAACCGTGCTTCCAGTGATTGATACCGCGCTTCGAAACG